GGGTAATGACCTGTCAAGAACGAATGAAACAATAAATATCAACTCAATCATGTATTCATCGCCAATAATTCATAAAAGGGTTAAAAGTAGGATACAGCCACGTGTTCTTGAAGGTATTGGGTTTCGGAGGTGCAAAGTTCGTAAACGAGCCTTTGGAAAACCAGGGTCCTAGGTTCCTCGTGGTGAACATATCAGGTTCGATGAAGACGTCATTAAATATTGGTTTGTTTCGATTTGGTGCATACCCTGTTCGCGCCGTTGCAGAAGCAAAGCCTGGATACACCTGAACTGATCCCGAAGTATACTTTCCGTCTTTCTGAGTTGATACTGTTAATGGATTATACATTCCATCGCCAGTAAACATGATCGGTTTTCCAGGAAAGATCTGAACGCCACCTAGTGAAGATACCCGCCCGTTTCTCGATATTATCCCTGCCATGCTTGCCATTCCTATTATTTTGTTGTTCGCTATAATTGGCTTCGTTTCTTGACGTTTTTCAAATTCTGTAGTTCCGGAGTCATCTGAAATTAGAATACGATCTTTAATATGCAATCGGAAAATAATCACAAAAAAATCTAAAATGTTAGAAAGAATATTTGTATAATAAAAATGTTTTGGTCGTGGACAGTGGTTAATCAACACAAATTCGCGCAAGTTTCAAGTGCACATTGTGCAGTTTGTTTACCAATGACGTCACGCATTTTAAAGTGACATTTAGGCATAAAAAGATCCCGCTATCTATATCGACTAATTTATTTCGTAGAATATAAGAAAAGGAATTCGCAAATGTGGCCTTATTACACCAAGGATGCGACAATATGATTACCGACATGAATATGGTAATGGCTAATAAAGTCAAACCCCACAAACTCGTCACTATAAAATTTTGGTAGTTCTTTGCTTGAGAGATGGTGATATGGGATTACCTGATATGGCTGAGGCAATGATAAAAGTAACGCAAATCAGGATGATACGCAGCGTCATGGCGATTCAGAACCGATCCTCCAAATAATGGTCCACATTCGAATCCTCAGCTTTTATTCCAAGCCAAAATTATCAGTTACAAATAATTGTTATAGCAAAACGGTGCTTAATAAATATTGATGACGCCTGTCATTCAGGTAATTTCCTCCGCGTCTGTACTATCAGGTACTATCACTATAATTTCCCATCATTAAGATGTTAACACTGGCATTAGTAGCAACGTATTGCCAAATGTGGTTGGTTACATAGTTAGATAACAAAAAGTTAATAACACGGCGGCGTGGACCGTCAATTGTTTTTAGCAATTATTTAACTTTTTGCGATAGACTTAGATCAGTAATCTGAAAAGTAACTGTTCTCTGATGCTCTGTTTGCTTGTCTGTGAAAAAAAAAATTGAAATATATTATATTTGCAATATGTATTTTTACAATAGACAATGGTATGTGACATGCCTATTCATTATGGTGAGGTCAAACAGCGTAATCTTTTGAGTTGTTAGTCGCGTTTTTTGGATCGCTTAATTTATGAAAGTTCGGTTTGTGCCACACGACGACGCAAAACAATTTGATGAATGATTCGATTCTTTTTTTAACAAAATTCGATGTTTGGTTTCTCTTTCGAATTTTGTTTTTTGTTTCTTTATTTTTTTCACAAAATTCGGGGAGCATAATATTAGTAAATAAATATGGCTGTTCACAAAAATAACTGAAATGACCAAAAAATAAAGTTGGCGTAGTAGAGACAGTATTTTAGAAATAATATAGATGTTCCCATAAACTTTCATATAATCAGTAATATATAAAACTGCCCACACCTTAATCTTTCCATATTGAGTGGATTCAGCTTTTTTTTGTGACGTCATCTATTGCTTTATAAATGCACACTTTTTTGACTGAACACAAACAACCATACTTATGCTTAAAAGCAATTGAATAAAATACATTCGTTTGGCGCCCCAACCTGATTTCAGTGGAACCTAAACTGTGAGACTAACTAGACGCGACTCACAACTCACAAAATTACGCTCGTCTGGCCTCACCCTAATAATTGCTGTGTCATTCAAAAATATCATGACGACTGTTAGCGCCATTACGCACTGCATTCGATTTTGAAGACTATACAAATCTAAAAAACTCGGACTCACTTCAAGTGTCGCTTGTGCACTAAGTTCGGTGTCGCTTGTGCTGTGTGCAATTCGAATACGAAAAAATACGAATATCGCTTGTAGACCTAGAGACAAAATGAGCCCTGGGACATTACGGACAGTCATTTTTCGTATCGGTTTCGGAACTGATACGAATGGGACGTTGTGCGCAAACGTTCTTACAAATTCAAATGAAAGTATAACTATAGTAAAAATATAACTGATAGCCATTGACTTACAATTAGGTATATGGACGTCGGGTCCGCGCTAAAAAGTGTCCGCACTTGTAAGGCGCTAAAATCGTATACAGAGCGCGACACTCCGCTTTAGTCTTCATTTGTTCTACTGACAGCGCGATACTGCGATGACATTACAATTTAAATTTCGAATAGGTTGACTTGGGACATTTTTTTCGTGGTTTTCGTATTAGACCCGTCGTCCATTTATTTGTAAGTCAATGCGGATAGCTGACAGTTAGCCGTGACTACGCGACCTGTAAAGGGCCCGTTGGTTTGTTTGAAAAATAATGCACGCGTCTTGGATCCGAAAAAATAGTTTCATTTTCTAAAACTATATCATGTCTTTTCTTGGGAAAATAAATAAACTCCGCAAGCGATACAGATATGTCCTCAAAAACTAAATTACGTATTCATTGTACTTTAACTCGATAAAACTTTCGAGAGTTTGCCACTCGGTCTTATAAGCAACATCAGTCAATGACTTTTTAAGGCGTTCCTAACTGGCTACACATAAACTCTAATTGTAGGTTTTATTTATAATCGCCAGAATTATTTTAGGAGTTGTTTTTAGGGTTCCGGAGAAAAGGGATTTTTTTTAAATGTTCATTGCTCTCCATTTTAAATATGTTCTACGAAATCTTAAGTGAAAGAATTATGGAAACATTTTTTATAAAAGGGGAAGCGTTTTCTGAAATTAGAGCAAATAAGGCTTTCTTTAAACATTCACTTATGAAAGAGAAGCTTTGTTAGCCTTACCGCCCAGCTACCACGCTTTCACGTACATTAATGGCATATCTGAATTTTATTTGCTAGGCAACAACATTTAAATTCCTCGGGAAAATACAACCGTGCGGTCGCCGCGTAGACCAAAGACAAGCCAGATACTTATGTAAGTTAAAATGTTAAAGCTAAATAAATAAAGCTTATTTTGCCATAACAGTTCGGTCTCTGAACACGTGCGCGCGGTCTCGTGATGAAAATCGTGCCGAATAAACGCGCCCTCATGGTTTGACCTACCGCCTTTCAAGCAAAGCCATGGGTTTATGCATTGACTTACAAATAAATGGACGACGGGTCTAATACAAAAACCACGAAAAAAATGTCCCAAGTCAACCTATTCGAAATTTAAATTGTTATGTCATCGCAGTATCGCGCTGTCCGTAGAACAAATGAAGACTAAAGCGGAGTTTGGCGCTCTGTATACGATTTTAGCGCCTTACAAGTGCGGACACTTTTTAGCGCGGACCCGACGTCCATATAATTGTAAGTCAATGGGTTTATGTGCGAAATTTAATTCGAAATTTACCATGCGCATTTGGGACTTGGGTGAAGGAAAACATCATAATGAATCTTGCACGTCGAAGTGTGACATCCCCAACCCGCATTGGTCCAGCGAGAGTGGCGGACTACGGCCTAAACCACCGCCTGAGAGGAGACCCGTGCCTAGCAGTGGAACGAATAAATGGGTTTATTAACAACAATGTCCAAAAAACGTTCTTTTCCCTTTATCTCCAAAGACTGGACGAGAATATAAAAAATCCACGAATCTGAAATAATTCTGGCTGATGCTATAATTTTTTTAAATTAGAATTTTTATTTCATAGCTTTTTATTTATATTCATAAATATGTACAAAAAAATCACTCTTCGCTCTGATGTGTAATTTTATTAACAAGAAAACGATATACGAAGGTCGATGAACCTCAAATTACTTTGAATAATGACTGAAATTATAATGTACCATCGTATATAAACCGTTGTATTTTAATAACAGCCTCATTTCCTACGAGATAATACGCAACATCAATTCCATATCTATATCAAAATCTGTATAAAGAAATCATGAGTTTAGTTACATTGTGCATTGTTTTAGGTATAATTTCCGGTAGAGCTCATACTTTGCCTACTATTTTGAAAGGTTTGTCACTGTTTGTTTCTTGTTAATTAACAATTTGTTGTCTTTGAACTCTTACAAAGATATATTATTCAAAATACTAGTCTAAATCAAGTGAAAATGTATTAAATTTAGAAAAATTTTATTCAATAAAATTCAAGCGTATGCCTAATAACACATCTACTATATTTATTTAGTCTTTGATTGAATTCAAAACAACGCTTTTAGAATATAATTAGAAATAAAGTAAGCCCTTAATTTATTACAGATTCTTCTCCTGTCGGTGAAACAGTAACAGCTGTCGCTTCAATAGGCCCTGATGAAAAATTTACTGGGATATATATTTCTCCAATCTCAACGCAACTTGACTCTAACTTCGATAAGACAATTCCGGAAAATCTAAAAACAAGTTTCAATATGGTATCTACAGGTCACCCAGTGGTAGGATCTGGTCGTAATATTGTATCTGTGTCTAATTTTGAACCTCCCTCTTTTTTATTATTTATGCCATTTAATGTTGACGACTCTGGGTTTCGTAATAGTGAGTCCTTTGGTGATTGGATAAAAAATATTCGAAAATTTTATGAACCATCTTTTGGGGGTCAAGGAGAATTTAAGTCTGTCGCAACGGTTAATAATAATGGTCATGTACATAGCACAATCAAAACTATGTCATTTGACAAAAAGCGTGACACTGATGTGAAAATTGTAAGTTCGCAAAGTTCTATATGAAATAAATAAGAAATGAAATACATTTACAACAGTCTTTTATTAATAGCTTTGCCATTGTCATTCCTTAATATTGCTTACCTAAATCACAAACTTAATAGGTATTGAGACAAGTGTGTAGCAGTCGTCTCAATATCTTTTTAAAAGTGGTTACTTTCTTAGACTAAAGTTGCTTTACTTAGAATTTAAATTATTGGTTATTAGTAATAATCAGTGTTAATGGCGTGAGACTGAGCAGCCTGGAGACCGGGCCCATTGATGCTTGAAGCGCCGCTGTGGCGCACGGAGCCAGCGCGCTGCTGGACCACTTGAGAAGAACTGCCTCCATATCCGCCATAGTTCTGAGCAGCTGAGACGGCAGAGTTGAAGTCACCGTATCCATCTTTACTCTGAGTGGCTGACATCGCCGATCCGAAATCACTTCCCGCATTATGAACGCTAGATACAGCAGATTCGTAACCTAGGCCTCTTAGGTTCTGAGCAGACGACACAGCGGACTGGTAGCGAGCTGGTCCAGCATTCTCGACCGCGGACACGGCGTTACCGTATCTACTGTATCCAAGCCCATTCTGGTTTTGGGCGGTAGCCACGGCTGAGCCATAATTGCCGCCGAAATTTTGAGCTGAAGATACTGCAGATCCATATGCATTACGACCGAAACCACTGTTTACAGCAGACGCAGTAGAATGCTGGTAGCCAAGAGGATATTGCGCTGGCACGACGTTTGACACTCCGCGAGCATAGGCACTACCAGCGTTAGTGCCAGTAACCCCAGAGCTGTACGCTTCAGCGTCACCGGTTCCAAAGGAGGAACCAACGCTAGTAGAGTGGCTGATGCCTCCGATGTTACTGCTAAAGCCGCTGCCGAACGCATACGCCATGTTGGGAGAGCGGCCGATGCGGAAAATTGTGCCAGGCATCATGTAGCCATTTCCTGTGAATCCAAAATACATTATTACAGTCGACATAGAGACAAACTGCGTTATATTCGGCAAAGTATTAGTTTTTTGTATATGTATTATTCTTAAATGAATTCCAGTTCAGGTTTCATGATCACAATTGCAATTACGTCATTCACTTACCGTTGATCCAAACCGGCAAGGCGTTGCTGGTGGCGAGGGCCAGAACAAAAATTATCATCTTGGCTGCCATCTCGAGGTTTGCTTTAGTTTTCGAAGAGGATTAACCTTTCACTAGAGATAGTGGATGGTTGTGAATCATTTCTTCGAGCTTATATACAAACTCAACATTCCCCCACTTGAAAAGCTAGAGTGGGCCACACCGATCCGCCAAAAGCCATTGACACTCATAAATTGATCTCAAAAAGTTACGGTAAAACTGTTTGATGATTTCCAGTGATCCAATATCATAAATTTGCTATATGGACGCCGGTAACTTAGATAATTGTGTGTTTTATATTTTGATATAATTCAAGATGCGTTGTGTGAAAATAATTATCATGAGCTTTATTTGGGACGTCAGAGTATTATTAATTTATTACAATTTCTACGGATTTATTTACACTGCATTGAAAGTGTTCATAGGGTATTAAATAACGGACATAATATAGTCAATATCTTTAATTAAAAAATATTTTAAAAAATCTTTGATCTTTTCTAGCTAAAAAAGACATTTTTTTTTCGAGTGCCATTGAGACATATATTATGCTCACAAAGTTTGCCTCGTGTTTGCATCCACTTCCTTCGGGATAGCTTTAGACTGTATTAGGTACATTGTTTTTGCTAATCAGTATTATACAATTGCTTAAATGGTTTCTTTTGTAATAGCATTTCATATGTTTTTTAATTTGCTAAATTTATTCGGCTGCAAACAGCCTCAATAAACAAACAATTAAAATATCAAGTTCTTAGTTTTTCGCGATTGTTAAACATAGGAAATGAACCGGCGTTTCGGGCCCTTTACAGGTCCCATGGTCACGGTTGACTGTCGTCGGTTTGTTTGAAAAAACAAATATGCGCGATTTAAATCCGGAAAAATAGTTTCATTTCCTAAACAATTAAAATGTAAATTTTATTGTTTGATTGTATTTTAATTTAAGAGACGGTAATAAAACCCCAATAATAGGCATTTTTCCAAATAGCGTTCTTAATTATTTGAGTAATTTGTTGTCTATTTTCGAATTTGTATGAATTAGGTAGTAGATATTAACTACATATAGTTAAATTGAAATTTCGCAAAACGATATTCTGAAATTAAAACACCTCAACAGCCTATTTTTTAACAAATGTGATAGACTTGTTGTATCCAATTAACAGGTTTTCTTTTATCGTTTCATCGGTAAAAAAAAAACAAATTACCGACAATGAAGATGTGAACAAAACAACAAATGGAAATAAATTAATAATGTTTTATTTTGGTGTCATAGAAATAAATTAAGAAACGGAGTTCGTGATTAATCTATCATTAAGTTAAATAACAATTCTTTGTTGAATTTCATCACTGAAAGTTAGTCATTTATTGCCTAGACATTACTTCTGCCGGCGTAAGCAAAAGAACCGGAAGCTGCAATATTATTTGGCCCATTGTCGTAATGTCCTTGGTCATGTTCGGGATCATTTTGTGTGCTGTCATCATATTCAGGTCTATGCTCGTTAGCTCCTTGGTCTCCATAGAATCCATTTCCATAAGGTCCTTGGAAACCGTATCCTCCGAATCCCGGACCGCTATGACCACCTTGGCCGCCGTAATAATTACCATTGAATTGGCTATTATACGATCCATGTCCGTTTCCGAAGTAGCCCGGACGATGATGATATCCGTGACCACCACCAAATCCATTGTTATATTGGTAGTTGTTGGGGTAGTAACCATGGCCGTAACCACCTCCACCCGCGTTTGCTGAAGATTGAGACTGGCTGATGCCAATGTTTATTGGAGGTATACCTCCATAACCGCCTCCGGGATAGCCGCCATAGCCTCCTTGGTGACCTCCGTAACCACCACCTCCTGGAAAACCACCGCAAATCCCATATTTTTTACACCGCCTTTTCGCTAATAAACCACGCGGTTCGCGGATAATAGATTCTGTTCCACTTTCAGCTTCTGTAAATAAAAAATATGAAATTATTAATATTAAACTGAATAACGGTCCCAATATCAAGAGCAAATTTTATCGGGCCATCGCAAATCACGACGCGAGATTATAGAGTAAAGAAATTACAACCTTGAGGCAGGGCTGAGCATCCCAAGAGGACGGTTAGAATGAACGGTATTAAAAATCGAGCCATGTTTTGCTGTTAGATCCGTTACTGGGTGTGTTGGTTGGTTTACAAGAAAACAGTTTTATAGGTCGAGATCACGAGGCCATCCCCCACGCCCCACAAATACGAAACGAGACATTGAAAACTTATTCGGAAGATCCCACGGAAGTAGTTTATAAACAATCGTTAAGTTGTAAACAATGTATCCATTTCGGGTAATCGGAACTTCCTTTTTGCAAATTATATTACGATGCCTCCTTAAGCAACAAACCTGCATAATTACTTTGTATCGATATTATTACATAAAACTATTACATTTTAGTATCTGACTGTTTAAGATTTGTAGAGAATAGAGATGTACTTGTGGAATCTATGGAATGAAACATACTCCAGATTACACAAGATGTACAAAGTATTCAATCGTGTTGTATTGTGTTATAACCTTGTATTGTTTTATATTTGCTCTTGTCCAGATAGCGTTGATAAATTTAGGAAAACGATATCAGCAGTAAGTAGCTGTTACTTTTCTTGTATTATCGCTTACACTATTATTTTAAATCGATATTAATAAAAAAAATCATCACAAAATGTGCATTCCAATTACAACCCTAAACACCATTCATAAAACTATAAATTGTGTGATCTTAGAGACAAATAATTATAACTTTTTTATTTAAAAAAAGGGACCTCAAGTTTGTGGAATTACATCTATTTTCTAAGTTTTATTGAAATAAGTCAACGGAAACTGGGTGTAATCCAATAAACTCAGAAGTAGAATATTTCCTATGAGACCACTACTGAGGTATCCTCATTCCAACAAAAAAAGAATCATCGAAATCGGTTCACAAATGTCGGAGTAATTTTAAATAGAAAAAGGTCTTAAAATAGTTCAAATGTGCTATTTGACTTTTTGAATGCGGGAAAACAATTACGAAATATATCATGGTTACAAGAAGTATTATTATATCTGCACGATTTTTTTTTCTTTAAAATTTATTCATTCAAAAACTAAATACAATTAAATTCATTTAAAAACTAAATTAATTCCATAATTATGTCAATCCGCAACGTAGGCTTCGTCAGGAAGACACAAATATAAATCAGCAACAGGCTTCGGCATTTTTAGCCACCTAGTACAAGGCAAAAGGACCGCCCTGAATCTTAGCTGGTTCGAACGCCCCCATAACACTGGCAGCATTACAAGTAAGATCCAGAGCGTGTATCACAGCCTCTACCTCTAAGCCGACGACCCAAATCCCAGATGAATTCTTTGGCCTCCGCACCCCAAGTCCCCGCAGTCTCCACTGCAATTGGCATAAACTGCTGCAATCTACACGTTAGTTTTATTCTTGAGAAATATAATAGATTCGGTTGCCATTTTGAACAATTATGGTGCGGATGTGATAAATTTAATGACGTGTGCGTTGTTTCCTGTTTCCTTGGGATTGGAGTAAATTTGCATAATTACCTAAATATCGTATCTCATTTCTCCTATACGAGAATTAGCGAGGTCTTGCGTAGGCGAGCTTTTGCGGTTCGGCATCCACTACTACTGTGAGCTAGGTCATGCTAAATTGCTGCAGCGACAAACAGTTCGTGTTGAGATCGACTAGTGACGTAACAAAAAATATAGTTTTCGTTGTTAATATAAAAGTTACTTTCATTATTATCATCATCAACCCAAATGTACATCCCACTGCTGAATACGGGTCTCCTCTAAAGCGTGAGTTTGGGTCAAAGTCCGCCACACCGGCCCAATACGAGTTGGGGACTCCACACGTCTTCCGAAGGTTGTAAACCTTTTACAACGTGTAGGTTTCATCACGATGTTTTTCTTCCCCGAAAAGCTCATAGTAAATTTCAAATTAAATTTCGCACATAAGTTTCGAAAACTCAGCGGTGCGAGCCAGAATTCGAACCCACGGCCTCTGCTTGACCTTTACCTTACCTCCTTTTCCCTTTATCTAAACCGATAACTAATGTTATGCCTCACTAAACCGCGTGAAAATTTTAAAATATTTTATTAATTTATTGCCCGCGTAACTGTAGCTTCGCGAAACTCGTTTAATTCAATTTCTCATTCAAGTTATGGGCAAGATTAATTGGACGATGTTACAGATGCTCAACTAATTGCTTTATGACGTCTCATAAAGACAATTTATGGTACCAAGCTGAACTATGTTGATAGGGTACTTTAATTAATAATATTATAACTAAATCTTTGTATTCATTGGCGTTGGAAATCTGACCAAGGAATATAAATCTGTAACAACTACTCATTACTTGGGTATTGATTGATAATGAACTTATTTTCGTCGTTTGTCTGTAAAATCTACATATAAGGCGTATTTGGTTTTCGTAAATATGACAGAATCTCAGATTACCGCAGTCAGCTCAACTGTCGTTCCATTGGTCTTCGCAAAAATTTGCATATTGTCTCCATTTTAGACAACTTTGTGTTTCCTAAGGAGCGTTTCAGCTTTCACAGGTTCCAAGATAAGTCCAGCCGCTTTCTCGTTAGGTCCCGGTTACCTTTTCCGTTTATTGTTACTCTTCATGCGGTCAGACTTTATAACACAGTTCCTATTACTATTCGCTAAAATAAATGAAATATTTTCAAAATGAGAATTAAGAACCACTATTTATCCACTATTCCATCCATTTCTTAGTTATTATACTATTATATGTATATGTATTCATCTAAGTATTTATATAGTTTTTAATTTAATTAATAAATTTAATGTTATTGATATTGGTTGAGTGTAATATATTTTTGTATATTTTTAGTTATTGTGTCGTGTACTTAAGAAATAAGCAAGACCTTTTAATAAAAAAAAGTTTCTAATATTTCATATTGCTTTTTTATATGTCAGACAAACACACCAATAACCTTGTCTCAAACTAGGGAGCAGTTTCTTATAGAACTCCTTGTGAAAGAGTTCGTCCATGTAAGTACTGCCACCTTAACTACTTCTTCCGCCAAGCAGTAATGTGAGTATTACTGCGTTCCGGTTTTGAAGGCTAAGTTCGTGTTGAGATCAACTAGTGACACAACACAACACTTTTAACACAAGGTCCAAGATCCTATTTCCAATATTGACTACCAGGTTACATTGAAAAAGGTTATTGTAAGCCAACGAATCAATAAATATGTTATTAATAGTGGAGCCCGATGATAACGACACGAGTGAAGTGCTATTAACGACAGTGTCTCTGGACCATGAAATCTCACCAAGATTAAAATCTCCCAAAACAAGAGTAGATGTGTCACGAGGCAACTTGTTGTGAATGACATCTGAGATATTATTGAGCAACGAATCTAACAGTGGCGGAGGAGGCGCACATAGGCAGCACAAATAGCGATATTTTTGTTTGAAATTTTCAAAAAGGCTAAGTATGCTGGTTAAGTGTTATGGCGCAGTATCAGTGCCCATCAGATCTTTGCAATTTAAAGCTCTGAGTGGCACTGGAAATGTAGGCGTGTCACTTGCCACCAGGCGTACGTCTTGTTCGTACTTGATGATATAAAAATAATCGGTTTGTCTAGACTCTGTACGGATTCATAGCTGGGACATCGCTTAGTAGTGGAGGTCAAGTTTTCTACGCAACAGCAGATAAGTCATAGCAGCCTTGCTTTGCACGAACTTGAACTCGGTCTATCTGGCGCAGAGTAAGCTCGAAATTATACGGTAAAGGCAATAAAAGTCGTTCACACGTCGTAAAAGTAATTTAAGCGGCCATAGGTACTTATCGACTGGAATTATTACTTGAGTTACGGTTTTTAAATTGTTTTGACTTGTATTTTTAACCGCATAAAGTCCCGTGTTCACGATACATTGTGTTAGGAAGTATGGAGACTCCACAAAACGAATCTGAAAGACTGTTATCAGCTGCAAAGATATTAGTATGACTTGATGACCTGTTGAGATAGTTTTTGTTGGATGTTCAATATAATTTTGAGGTAATATTTCGTCTGTACAATTGTGTATTGCATCGAATCTGTTTTTTATGATTATAGAGTCAATGATTTATGATATTTTTTTCGTCTAGGTAGAATGAATAAATGAGTTTTTATTTTAAGTAATTTTGGTTCTGTGGCTTGTTTTTTCTAATATCTATTCTATATCTGTCCATGACAGTTGCAATGCCACTCAGAGCTTTAAATCGCAAAGATCTGAGGGGTACTGCCACTGCGCCCGTCACCCTGTAATTTCACAAGCACTTTCAAAACTGGAACATAGTAATGCCGACATTATGCAGAAATATTTAAGGTGGCAATACTACCCTGGACAAACTCTTTCCCAAGGAGCTCTAGTTCTGCTAAATATTTAAAAGTAATGTATTTTTAGCATTGCTGTTTATAAACCAACTTAACTAACTTAATTATCGCATTAAATAACGCATGTTATTTGTATAAGTTGACGCCATATTCTTTATCATTTTTAAACATTTACCGTCGGATGCGCTAATAACACTAAATTATTGTCGGTATATGTGGGAGAAACATTTTACAAAATAACATTTATTTATCGAGTTCTTAGATTTTTGCGATTGTTACGTTGTTACACATGACCATGGCACTGTAAAGGGGCCAGAACATTGCTAAATTTGGAATTCTCAAAATTTTATTTGAAAAAAGATTTCTTATTTGATCTTACACTAAAAAAACATTTCTCATTTCAAAGTGATCAGAACTTGAGAAAGTCAATTTCCATTAAAAAGATCTGTGTAAACGTTTGTTGAATGATAATGATGATGTTTGAATGAAAACCAAACTTATATTTTCACTTCGTGAATACAATACGTTCACATTTTATTGCAATATACATACTTAAAAGGGAGTTTCGATCCACTAAATAAAATATTTTTGTTATGATTTTGAGAACTGGTTTCCCCGCAACCGCGCGCGCTCTGCTACAGCGGTTGTAAGCCGGTGGCTTAGTTGGCTAAGTTATACAACTTTTTGTTAATATTATTTGGGTTATACCTTCATTTTATGTCTTTTTTGTACATTGTTTACATTACTATTTTCTTACAGTTATTTTACATATTACTGTGATATTTTCAGAGTAGACAAATAAATGAGATTCCAGTTTCTGTTACAAATTATTTCAAGTCAAAGATGTTTTTCGTAACGGCGGCCGCCTAACGGGCGATCCGTTGATTCGATGATGACGATATCGATTTATTTATTATTTCGATAAAACTAATTCTTACTGAAGCAAAGTAAGTTTTCTAACAAAATTAAATAAATTAATGACACAATTTTTCACAAACCTTAGATTTAAAAGTGTAAAGTAAATGGTGTTAATGTTTTTGTAACTATTCAATAAATTAAAAAGAAGATTGAGGCCCAGACAGAACCCATTTTTTTAGTAAATATGGAAAAAAGTCATATTCGTAGAAAGCAAACATTTTATGATTTTGTTATCTACATAGGCATGAAAAAACGTGGAATATAATAAAAAACGAATATAGTAATAGAACACAATTATACAATAATCAATTTTTAAAGAAAATTATAATAAATGACAAAATTATAAGTGACCCAATTGATATAGCCAATAAATTTAATGATTATCAAATCAATCTAACTAACACACAAAATAAGTCATGCAGAAATACTAACAAATCTTCCTTAATGAATAGTATATTTATAGAGGCCTTTGATTATTAGAGGCCTCTACCGAAAGACATTCAAATGTTACCAAATAATTTGTTCAGAAATACATAGACTTAGCGAATGACTTAGAGATAAAAATTATTACAAAGTGACTGATTTTTTAGATAAATGTTGACATGAAATTAGTGCTAAATGTAATATACATGTACCATGTAATAAGGATGTATAAATATTTTATAGTTTGACATAGAAGGTTATTAGTTTGTTGTTTTTAATTGACTGATTATTCTTTGTTTCTTATTGGATGTCGACATGAAATTATAAGGTATATTTATGTTTAATGTAATCATGATGTATGATATTTAATAATTTCACATTGATAGTTTATTATTCTCTTGTTATTAATTAATTAATTGATTATTATTATTATTATTATTCCTTGTACACGTCTGATGAAAATGCTATAATTAAACTAAATTTAAGCAACATTTTGCATGCCTAGTCAGGTAAAACATGTGTTCTGTAATAATTGTTCCATCTTTCACACCGTGTTTTAAGCAAATAAAATTTCATTTCATTTCATTTCATAGTATCCAGCCATGACCGCCGATTTTCGTAAGCGACATTTTTACCCAAGCTACGTTTTTTATTGCAAATGATATTTTAAACTATAACGGACAAGTATGCGTCGACCTTTCCCGCAAAAATTACATCAAATAGAAATTGTAGCAAATGCTTTTTTTTTACTTTTTATATATTTATGCATATACATATATATATATATATGTTAATGTGTGTGTATATATATATATAAAGTTACTTAATTGGGTGACGAAATACTTTCATAGATTTCTCATAGATGGCGCTACGGCTAAAAAGTCGTTAAAAACCAAATTCAAAGGTCCGACAAACAAGCACATGGAAAAATTTGTGAAGTCCGCTGATTCTTTCCGTGGCTAAGTTGGCATAGCGTCTGGCACGGTTTGCTAGAAGACTGGTTCGAATCCGGCCGGATCGAAAGATATTTTTCTAAGTGTTCGGTCTTTGTATTAATAATTATAAAAAGCAAGGAGTTCGTGACGATTATCATTATCATCTGGTGTTTTTGTACTAACTTATTAATTTAAATTTTTATGTCATCATCAGCTTACACGTATTCAGTGCTCGTTATAAGCCTCCCTTTAAGCATGCCAACTCTCCTGGTCCTTAATTTGTATGTGCCTAGTGTTATATGGATTTATACTACATGGAAATAAATGATTTCAATTCGAATTCGAATTAACTGCGGTGATTAATTTATTACATTATATAAACAGGTTGTGTTAAGGCAAAACCAAAGACAAATAAAGTACATAACAATATAATCAGATTCTTTATTTATTAAAATAAATGGTAACAAGACTAGACTAGTCAATTTATCATTTAATTGAAATGTACAGGAAAGAAATTACGAATAGTCGAAGTATGTGCAAGTCGATAAATTTTTAGTTTTGAATAGAAGTTATAAAACTTCTATTCAAAACTAAAAATTTATCGACTAATTTTAATCGTAGAATTTTTAGACGTCTCTCGTAAAAAGTTGTTATTTTGGAGATGTTTCTGTATTACACCAACAGTGCGAATTTAAATGCTAAATACTAAACAACATGTCGTAGGCTAAATTCGTAAACCTCGTAACGTCCTTTCAATTAACTTTTGAGTTGCTACAAAAACATAATTTATAGAAATAATTATATGACACTCAATTATATATTTATTTTATAACTTAAAAAGGGTGTACAAATTTTATTTAAAGCTTTAATTGCCCGACATTGCGCTTGTAGAGTAAAAAAGAGATTTCGTCCAAAAACGCAGTTAAGAGGTTTTCAAATTTAGCCGAGTATGTGTTTACTATATTATATAGTACACTGTTGTTCTTCCTGAAAAATACATTAAAATCACATAAAATATGAGGTATACTAGAACTATATTGTAAGGCGAAATTATGTGCTTATGAAATCAATGGGGAACAAAAATTATTATTTAATTTTATGAAATGATTTTTGCTAAAACATTTGTAACAATCGTTACCTCAAATTAAATGAAACTTTATTACACAATGTACACACACACACAGGCGACGAAATGTCATTTAATTTGTTTGAAAACTATTCTGCAATATCATTACTGTGACAACTGCGTTCCGATTGGCTAGCCCGAGTTCGAAACAATTGACGGGTGTCGTCAATGGCTGTCGTCAACTGTTTCATTTCAAATCGTCCAGTTAACTTGAGCTTTACTATGATGCACGAAAATTGCAAAATTACATATTTAATATTTAATTACCGGTGATATGTGATTCCGTTTGTTTTGTAATTAGATGTTTTGCTGTTTTTCCCACGTCACCGAATGGAACAGCACGGCATTGTTAGAGATATTATCTTTATTGCAATAAATACAGAATACTTTTTGGAATACACGGAGACGTATGCACAGGTCAGTAGTTGGCCTGTCTATATTTAGTGCAATCGGGAGTTGATATTATTAAGAGCAGTATCGCTAATGTGTTACCAGGAATATACGGCCCTTATTTCGTCTCTATTTCTGGTTATATACTCGATGGTACACACATACAAGTTTACCGTAGGTTTTAAGGGAGAGTACAAATGTGGCGAATGGTACAAGTGTGTGACTGTACGCATGCAGAAGTGCCTCTGTCGGCGAGCAAGTGGAGCGCCAACGGTACGCGAACAGCACGCGAAGTTAAGTAATAATAATGATAATGTAGCTGTCAATTAGATTTGGGTCTGGCAATAGCAATAGCTACCGCCGATCCGGTGTCACTTCGGGCGTTGCTTTGCGCTGATCCATTCGTGCATGTGCTGCATGGTTGTGTGCCTTGCATTAACGTCTGCGATTGTGCATTTGCTTTTATAGTTGGTTGCGGTTCTTGTTGCTGCTGAAGTTGTATTTGTGGCTGAGATTCAAACTGTTCCCATGAGTCGTCAAAATGACGATGATGGTGGCGACGGGGGTGCCAACCATTTGGCGATGGGGGCCAATAAGGTGGATATGGCGGAGGAGGATAAGGAGGACAGTTTGCGTATGGAGAACGTTTCACTCTATCGGGTAGACTATCTGGAAAGTAAAGAGATCGTTTTAGTCCAATCGGGTAAGATACTTTGGGGTGCACACAAGAAACCTCCCCGAAATAAGGTACGAATAGTATTTCTAGTACGTCTGTTGTATTCTGGTCAAATTAATCCGTTTACCACGATGGCAAACATCCCGTGCCGTCAACATGGCGGCTACTAGCGACGAGCTCAGCGTGGCTAACTTCTGGGCCGCGATAATAAATAGTGTATGCTGTCGATACGACAAGAAGAACCATGTAGTATTATTGATTTCATAGATTTCTTATAGATGGCGCTACGCTTAAAAAGTCGTTGAAAAAAAAACAAAGATCCGACAAACAAGCACATACAAAAATTCGTGAGGTTCGCTGGTTCGTTCCGTAGCTTAGTTGGCATAGCGTCTGATACGGTTTGCTAGAAGATGTCGGCATTTGTGAACCGATTGTTGATAATTCGTTTTTGGAAAAAAGGGTACTCAGATGTGGTCCCATTTAAATTTGAAGAAAATATTCCACCTCTAGAGGTGGCAAACTAGGTAATGAACGACTTTTGAGGTCAATTTTTTAGTACTCTGTATTGTTTTTGTGAAATAACTTCACTAGTTTGCTATAATTATTAAATACAACCATGGAACAAAAAAAAAGAAAAATCTATTGACCCGGACTTGAACTTGCGACCACGGGTTTCCATCGCTCTTCCAACTGAGCTTCAGGTCGAGTTAACCGAGTCGACGAAATTTCTTCTATGTGCCTGTTATAAGATTTGCATTGAGTTTCGACGAAGCACGTAGAAGTTTAGAAAATTGAGTGTCTCTCTGCAACCTGTACGTAGAATGCTTTCCATTCATGGGCGCTTTATAGTAAAGAGATAATTGCGATACAAGACAGCGTAGTCGGGTATTTAGTACCTATAGGTACATCTGCCCCCGTAGCAAGACGCATGATGTTGCGACGCGCGCGATAAAATTGAAATAAACGCGCGGTATTGGCTATCTAAATTAGATCTGATTGAGCACGAGTAGGACCCTGCACCCATCACACGCAAAATAGGCGCCTTGTCGTCGAGTTGCGGATACCAGCCCGTTGCACCAAGTACCAAGTACCAAGTAGATCTGATTGAATTAGTTATATATTATATTACTATTCTGCCAAATAATTACGGTGGCTACTGCTCTCCGATTGGCCAGCCCGAATTCGAAACAATTGAGGGGTGTCGTCAATTGTTTCACTTCAAATCGATCAGTTTAACTTGAGCTTTGCTATAATGGACGAATATTGAAAAATTACATATTTAATATTTAATTACCGATGAAATGTGATTCCGTTTGTTTTGTAATGAGATGTTTTGCAGTTTTTTCCACACCACCGAATGTACAACTCCCCATTGTTAGAGATATAATCTTCATTATAATAAATACAGAATCTTTTTGGAGTATACAGAGACGTACACACAGGTCAATTGTTGGCGCTGTACTATTTCAGCTTTCTAATTTGTAATTTCAGCATAAACGAGAGTTGATATTTTAAAAGTGATATAAGACCCATTTGCCTGATTGCCAGGGATGGATGGCCATTATTTCGTCTCTATTTCTGGTTATATACTCCACAACCAAAGCAATGGAATACAACCCACCATCTTGGTACCCAGAATACCCAAACCAGAACGAATATAGAAAAGCATATTATATAAATTGCTGCTACCGTGAATCGAACCCGAGACCTTCTCAGTGCTTAAACAGTCAATTCATCATCATCACCCCATTTATAGGTCCTACTGCTGGGCGCGAGTCTCTTTTGTGACAATGTGACCTCCTTACATCATCATCCCACCTTTTATCGCCTTTTCTCCGGTTCCTGGCCACTCGTATTTATATTTTGATTCGTACTTTAGTAATTCCTTTGCCTTGCCATTCTGGTTTTCTTTCGTTCCATCGTCACTCTCTGCTCGAACGCGGCAGCGTATAGTGCTGTTTAAATTTCAATTGCGTATAATTTTGATTCCTTTACCAGATTTGTAATAGCTACTACTAATCATGTGCCAATTTTAATATCAATCTTAATTCAGTATAACTCGGCCCTTTTGGGGTAAGTGTCTACTTTATATTCATCCATAAGCATATCCGTATGTAATTAAGTTTCAGAGAGTTTTGTAGTATTGTACCTACCTGTTTTTATATACCTTTTTTTGTTACAACTTCTTTTTTCTCTTTACCAACAACTTAATAAATTTTCGTGGACCTGAAGTTTTCTTATTTTATTGCCGTGAACCTGGTCATGGCTCATTAGGGTCTACAACCTTCACATGTTTTCTGAGGGTTGTGAACTTTCTTCGACGTGTAGGTTTCATCACGATGTTTTCTTTCACTGAAAATTTCACATTAAATTTCGCACATGAATTCCGAAAAACTTAGAGATTTTTAGCCTTTATTCGAACCCACGGCTTCTGCTTGAGAGGTGATAGGTCAAACCATTAGGCTGCCACAGATTTCATTCCAAATGAACAGATTGTAAACCGTTAATGTGCCGTGACCAGGTTACGGCAATAAAATAGAATACGCCGCCACATAATTTCTTCCATAAGCAAAGTCGAAAGAAAAAAAAAGGCTACAACAAGAAAAGGGTATAAAAAAACAGGTAACACGCTACAATACACTCCCTACTTAAGTACTAAAAACGTGAGACAGATTTACCCCGAAAGGGTCGAGTTCTTAATAATACTAAGTTAGATTGATATTAAAATTGGCACATGATTTAGGTTGGAAACTGGTAAAAGGATCAAAATTAGTTCAGCAGCACTGCTCGGTTTAGCGATTAAGCAGAGAGTGACGACGGAACGAAAACATAGTGAGAATGACGGGCAACGGAATTAAAGAACGATTCAAAATTTGAAAACAAGTGGACCAGAGAAAAGGTGATAAAAAGGCGGAAGGACGATGGAAGGAGGCGCATCGTCACATAAGTATATGTATAGGTACAATATACTTACGTCGTGTGCCAGCTGACGAATTGTCAAGGAAAATAATTACTAAAACAACACAAACACATACACGCCACATGCTTGCTTCTTCGCTTGTGACAGGTTAGCACATTGTTACATTTTTATACAAGCTGATGTGAGCAAACAAATAGCAGAAAATTATATGAAAACCACACCGACTCGCAACAAGGTGTTAACTTGTTGAGTATATTGTGGAAGGTGCCAGTTCTAGCTATTGGTTTGATTTCAGGTGATCCCCAATTCCCTCCGCTTGTTACAAAAGGAATTGTGGTTTTGATTATGTCATGACAGTTTATTTATCACATCCGTGATGGTAACTTCAATTAGATTAGTTTTCTTTTATAAAAGTACAGTCAGCCTTAGAAGTTTGACCTTGAACAAAACCTTGTTTTGGTGCAATGGTCATATCTATTTCAAATTCAATATACCTTAATTTTATACGTAAACATAAGACAGATTCCGCTGAGAAATATGAGTAGGGATTTTTTTTTATAATATCAAGCGACTGGATGACAAAGACGTGTGCCTGGTGGCACTGCCACTGCGCTTGTCACCCTCAGATATAAAGTTGACAAGTCTCATGTGCCTGTAATTTCACCAGGACACTTATCCTTCCAAACCGGAACGCATTACTGTTTGGCGGCAGAAATAGGTAAGGTAACAGTGTTTCCCTGGACGAACTCTTTCACAAGGAGCTTTACGGTTTCAGATACTAATATGGGGATTGCTTTTTGAAAGAAGATAATTCTATATTTACCATTTGATATACTATATTTCCAAATTTCATACATAGGAGTAACTTAAAAGAGCTGAACCAATCGTTCAAATAATGTGTATTTGGAAACCGTACCACTCGCGCATCATTGTAGCTGATTAGATTGCATTGAAGAAGTTATATATTGCATAGTGTCCCTGGCATACGTACAAGAAAATGAGTGAGAAAGACTGTAGACCGGTAGGCCGTTAATGAATATATGAAATAGGGTAGGTCCTAAAAGTGATCCTTGAGGTACACCAGTTGTGGTCTCTAGCAGTCTGTATTTAAACGCAAGTGTCCTAAATGTAATTGTAGGTTAATTTGTACAAATTGGTAATTGGTAAGCGTTTTGACTACACGGGTTACGGGTTGGCGTGCCTGTAACGTTTTTCGTGAGAGTAATATTAGTCAAATTGCTTCGCACTTTATTCCCCCCGCCTCGCCTTGGTGGGGAGGGTTTTGGGAGCGAATGGTTAGGTCTGTCAAGGATATTTTAAAAGGAGTGCTAGGAGAGCAGCACTAAACTTTCAAAGAGTTATTTACTGTGATGTGTGAGGTAGAGGCAACTATCAATCAAGACCTTTGACATACATTCTGAAAATTTGGTTACGCTTACACCTTCACATTTCTAACAGCTTAAAGTGCCTAACAATAACATAAGTATTGAACTAATTGATGGTAACATTTTATCATCGCGTTGGGGATATATAACAAAGCTATGTAGCGACTTAAACAACCGATTCAGAAGTGAATCCTTGAGTTTGCTTATACATAAACAAAATAATGAGCGGGCTAGGTCAATTAAACCTGGAGATGTAGTTTTGATAGCGACAGAAAAGAAGCGTGTAGAGTGGCGTCTCGGTATTGTTATTGAAACGATTCAAGGAGCCGATGGGTGTAGCAGAGTAGCTCACATAAAAACAAATTCAGGGATGCGGGTTCGATCCCTACAGGCTATATACCTTCTGGAACTGTCCATACCCAACGAAGACACAGCTGGAATGGACAAAGTCATCTCCTCAGGCATTGCTACACGTTCTGGTCGACATGTTAAGTTACCGGATAGGTTAATTTCGTAAATATTTATTCAGTGTTAAATTTTATTGTTTTAAGTGTTTGTGTTATTTCCAAATGATGGTTGTGTGCATATTTTTCTAATTTTGTATTGACCAGCCCGTGCGCAACTCCGTGGCGGAAGGATGTTGTAAACTCTTTATATTTGACAGATTAGATGAAAAATAAATTGTCATTGAGTGGAAAAACGTGTTTCATTTGAACCCATTTAGGAAACAGAAAATAATAAATTTAGCCTTTCAGTTTACTATCTACACTTATAATACATATATAAGTGTATACCAATTACCATACCATACCTATTTCAATCCCCAAGCAGTAATATAAGCGTTACAGCGTTTCGGTTTTGAAGAGCAGGGGGTGGGACTTGTCAACTTTGTCTCAGAGTGACGAGCACAGTCCTTCTCAGATCATTGCGATGAAAGGTCTAAGTGGCACTTCAACTGTTATAGCCGTGCCCAATGAGAAGATTTGATAGTGGACTCAGAGTCGAGCGGTGGCAACCGGTAGTTGTGCAAAGCGCAACGGGAAGTGAGCGTGCCTACAGCCTATCCTATTTGGAAAATAGGGAGGGTACTGTACGTGCACCCGGGGCGGTTCACCCGAGGCACTAGCTTCTCGCAGAACCGGATGAAGTCAAGTGACAGAGGTCAGTGACATCCCAGTACACTGGCTGATCCAGATCATCTGAACCCAAGGTCAGAACCTGAACTTACAAGGTTCCTGTGCGCGCACAGGTTATAGTGCCCTTCTCGTATATTGCAAATTTGAATTTAAATATTACGACTTTTAAATTTCCAAGTCGTAATATTTCAATTCAAATTTGCAAATCTTCAGTCGATTTAGGGTGCACTATGTCTACTACGTCTGGCGCACCTTGAGCAACAGTCAGTAAGTATCTTACGCCAATTGGCAAACCCTTTCAGCACGATGGCAAAACTCAATTAGTCTTTGATGAAGAGGGAATTGATATCTTTGAGGACTACAGTAACTAATAGCTTAAAAGTATTTCAATCTAAGGATATACCGGCAAAAAAACTAAGTGTTTGTTGGTTCTAAACCATAAAAAAGTAAATGCTACATAGAATCAGTTTATTGATAATTTTATTAGATTTAAACAATATCCTTTTAAATAAATATTCACATAACATAAACAAGTCGCCATGTACTTTGATACAAATATGCTTTATCCTCCAACAGAAAGGGCAACAGCTGATCCACTGTGACTTCTAGCGTTGCTGATAGCGTAGCTGTTCTTTCCACAAGTGCTGCAGCTATCTTGTGTTCCTTCTGCAGCCTTCAAACCCTGTGATGCCAGATCAAGTGCGCCACCCAAAACAGACTGATCTTTACCATGCTCAAAAGCACCGTATCTTCCAGAACCGCTTCCTTTCCGATATTCGCCATGTGCATAATTTGGTTGAAATTGTTGGCCTTGTCCAGCATTATATTCAGAGGTTGCTTGTGAACTAGAAGCGTGAACCTGACCATACCCTCCAGTATTACCGCGATACGAAGATATTTCTTGTTGAGCTGAATCCACGGCCTGTCCATGGCCTCTAGCACCTCCGTAATAAGAATTCGATTTTTGTGGACCAAAGTTTTGATTACCTCCTGGTCCTGCTTCATTACTGTTATACGCTGAGAATTGTTTCCGTCCCAATTCTTTATTCTGCTCCTGCCCTACTTCTCCGCGATTAGCAGCGAATGAATTTGTATTAGCACTATTATGCTGCTGTTGTAGATCTGCAATATCACCACGATTTACAGAGACTTCTTTCTGACGAAAACCCTGAAACTGTTCAGAACTCTGTGGTCCAGGTTGATCGTGATAGGCAGAGGTTTCCTTATGTCCAGAACCTTGATACTGTCCTTGAACTCCAGCTGCACCTTGGTTTGCAAAGAATGATTTTGAACCATAATCTCGATACTGTTCTTGTCCCCCGGCTTGTGCGTTTGCGCTGCTTCCTGCACCAGGTTTAGAATTGCCCTCATTTACCAATTTTACAGTATGTTGCCCAGATTCACTTTGTCCATACTCAAAACCAGTGCCCACATTGCTTTGTCCAGTTTCAAAGCCTGTGTTCTGCCTCGTAGAAGCAGAATTAAATCCCTCCAAATTCGATTGAGTATTTTGTAAGTTGCCGCCATATGCTCCATGAGAATATTTATCGACGAACTTAGCTGATTGATCGTCCTGTGCATTGTTTGTTGAGCCAGCGTCAGAGGCAGCTAACGAGAACGCTTGACCAGATGCTTCGTTGCCGTTCCCCATTGCAGCAGCAGCTCCACTAAATACTCCTTGCTGAGAGCCGTCAGCACTTCGGGCGTAGCCACTCCAATTATGAGTCCTGAAAATAGGCGGTGGTGGTGGTGGCCCATAGTTATGATCACAAGAATAACATGGTGACCTTGCTTCCCGTGTATGTACGATATCTGCAACAATATAATGAAATAAGTATACGTAGACTTAAATCATGTCAACAATATGAATATATGTTAGTAACTGGGATATTATGGGAAGACATACCCTCATTCATGAATACCGCACTTTGTGCCGTGAAAACGATCACAGATAAAATCAAAATTATTGCCTTCGCCATTTCCATGGAGCATCTTTGTCGGTCTGATGCATGAAACTTAATTTCAGTACATTTATAGGTAAAAGAGCAATGTGTTAAAAAATTGTTCTAAGAATACACTCTGCAAATGTCCAGTAGTAAATGAAATAAGTAAATAATAAATCTAACACTAGAGATGGAACCAACAGTTTACAATGCATACAGAATTAGCGATATATTTGATGTCTCATGAAAATGATATCATATTACGTAAACATAGGAAAATGTAATCCCTTACTTATAATTCGTGTGGCAAAGAGTTACGTGTCAGATACCTGTGCTAACAGCAAAGATGTTCGGCGTAAACAAGAGGCAATGGTCACACGGTTGATCTTAACCTGAAAGTGGCTTCTTGCGAAACCAGAACAGGGTCAGGTTTAATCGGTTAAAAAACTAAAACACGTCTAAAACTTGTCTTTTCTCAATAAAATTTAGTGTTCTCCACTTCACTCTGACTTTCTGAGATGTGTTTGTACCAATAAGTGAACACCTTGAGTTTGAGTCGGTCGGTGTCTTGAACTTATCATTCTTTTCTTTTCGTGGGGAACTCCTCCTAGGATACCTCTATGTTATGCCGCACTTCTACCGGCTAAAACCCCACGGTGGCCTTCTCGGCATCGACTTTGTGCACCGGAACCCCCCAGCACCCAGAAGGAGCTACGTCCTGCTCCTCCGCTCCTCACGGTGAAGCGGACCACACGCGGGAACAATTAATCAAAAGTAGCACAAGGATGTCTCAGTCCAAAGCCCGTATTAAAGTCAATCGTGTTCATGAGAACTGGCTGATCAAATCATATAACCTACATGATAATACCTTCAACTGTTTTAATTCACATAATCATTTCACATTGCTGTAAAGTGACATGTAATAATATACGAATAAGATCTAGTAATTACTTTACAAGTACAAAGGTGGATACCTTTGTACTTGTAATATGTGTCATGTCATCGCTTAAGTGTCAATTATTGACGTATTATATAATTTCATTTACACCTCGTTTCAATAAATAAAGCGATTAGTGGATATTTCATATTGCAAAAAAAGTAGTGTGTCTTGTGCTGGGTTATTAATCCTAACGGAAAACATTGCTCTTAAGTATCTCAAGGGATAGGTTAGGTATAGATATTATTTAAGTGGTAAGGTGGTCTAGCGGATTTCTATTCTAGTGACTCGAAGTAGAACAACCGGGGAAGTCTAAATATATATATACATAGTTATTTTGCAGTTATTTATAGCAACTACAATATGCAATAATTATTGATCATTCATGTGCCTCTAATATGATCGCGAGGCGCATTATATTGCGAGGCGCATTAAATCGCGAGGCCAATTATATTGCGAGACACATTAAATTACGAGGCGCATTCAATTGCGATATCATTAGATTAACTGCCTCTGTGGCCAAACGGCTACCTTGCTGGTCTGCTACGAGAAGATTCCGGTTTCGATTCCCGGCCGGGAGAGATATTTATATGGCCTACATTTATTTACCTTGTAAGTTTTGGTGTAATTTATGGTTGTCTAGGTGCGTGGCCTTGGCACCCGCCATACAGGGTTTCCTTAATGTGAGTGCGTGCGTTATCTAATTAGCTAGAAAACGATTTGGCAACTTTCAGTCGTGCATATCAGTCCAACTTGTAGTAAAGGCAGTGAAAGATAGACAAATTCCTACTAAATAAAAGACAGGTGAACTGTCAACGCTAGTCTCATCCAGGTCTATACCTAACAAGAGTGAGGACAGGCTGTATATAAACTGCGTATCAAAGTATATATGTATGTAAATTAATAATAAAGGGAAAGTAGTAATGGTTAAAACCTGTAAAAGTTGCACTCTATTTTCAAGACATAGGCTTCCTGTGGCTGTGAAAAAACGCGAATTCCAACGCGACTGTTGTACTTACTGACATTCCAGCACCCATTATATGTATATTTCTCGTAATTCACTGTTACAGCCGCATTGGTACCCACACCCAGTCAGTAAGTCAGTATTACTTTAAATTTAAGTCCCTCTACTCGGATTTGGCATTACTGACAATTCAATGCCACGCTGGCCATAGCAGAACGAGGAGAGGTCGGAAAAACAAAACTGCGACGAATTAAGACGTTTTAAAATCAGTCAATGCCAAAAGTCCCGCTGGAAGGACGATCTTATATGCTACCTTACGATATACAATAGCGCACCATACGCGATTATATAAGCAAAAGAGGAAATATACATATGAAAAGAAGACTCTAGATAAGTAAAAAATTAAAAAGAAGAATAGGAAATAGAGGGACTATGGCAAATTCATAATGAACAGGAAGGTCAAGGATATAACGTCGAAACAGAAACAATGAAGAACAATGAAAAATACTTAGGTTATGTTTAGTAGATTGTGTTAGTTAGTAATGGTTACAAAAGTTATTAAATTTTTTATTAATTTTATTGAAAGGGAGAGATGTAGTGTACTGACATAATGTATCATAGATAATAGACAATGTAAGTCACACTGTGGCCCGCCGCCGTTCCCGCCGCCATGACGACAGAAGTGACGTGGCCGTGTATCGCACGTGTACGTGAAGCAAACAAACGTTGTTTTATTGAGCTATACCTGTTATAGTACAGTACTGTGGACGCCACAAATCCTATAGATATGAAAAAAAAAAATACGCATTACGTTTAGGTGGTTCTGACCCGGAGTATATGGCATCCGTTCTAACGTAGCCTATATTTTATCCGACGATGACTGCAACCAGTTTTCCTTCATAATTTTTACTATACCTAATGCATAATCTTTTTTTTCTATGAGACCAAGTTAAGAGACGAACAAGTCGTGTACCTAAAGGTTGCAGTGACGCTTAGAGTTTTAAATCGCACAAATTTGGGACTTCAGTTGGCAAGTTTCCACCTTTTTAATTTCACCAGCAACCTTACACTTCAAAACCGAAACGCAGTAATGCACATCGCTGCTTGGCGACGGAAGTAGGTGAGGAGCTCTACAGCTACTAAAATTCATTCATTGAATACTAGCTGTACCAGCATAAATATTGCAGTGCCACTTAAATAAAAAAAAAGTTACATAGTAGAGAAGTGTACCTATCTGCAAAAGAACCGCCTTTTACGCTGTAGACGCATTTGTTGAAACAACTGGTGTACCTGACACATTGACTTACAAATAAATGGACGACGGGTCTAATACAAAACCACGAAAAAAATGTCCAAGTCAACCTATTTATACGTAGTGACATGTAAAGGAATATGAAAAAGCTAAAACGTTGAATTTAAATTGTAATGTCATCGCAGTACTGTCTAATTTTGCTTGCTTCGCTGTCAGTCGAACAAACGAAGACTAAAGCGTGAATGACGCTCTGTATACGATTTTAACGCCCTATAAGTTCGGACGCTGTTTAGCGCGGCCGTCTATATAATTGTAAGTCAATGACCTGACATTATAAAATAATACTTTAGAAAGTGCGGACTTAGGCAAAATAACTCACAAAATTTTTGTCGCAACCGAACTTATTCTTGACAACTATAGTTATGTGGCTACTACATCTTTGACTGATGGTTTGGTCCTGAACTTGCAAGGTCCCTGTACTCGCATAAGTTATAGTGCCCATCCCGTATAACCAACAGGTTGATAGGGAGGGTCAATGTAATTAAAACACATGTCTAAAATATGGGAATGATGGTATGACCTATCGCATCTTAAGTAGAAGGTCGTGGTTTCAAACCGGGTGAGTGTAACTCACTGTTTTTGGGAATTTACAAGCGAAATTTAATTTAATTAGAAATATACCATGAGCTTCTCGTTGAAGGAAAACTTCGTCAGGACACCTGTGCACATCCGTAAAGCGATTTAATGATGTGTGTGTAGTTTCCAATCGGCATTGGGCACGAGTGGGAACTAAAGCTCAAGCCCTCATCGTTAGAGGAGATCTATGCCCAGCAGTGGGAATTTATGTAGGCTAACTATTATATCTTTGATCACTATATATTTTTTATTTTTTCTTATCTTTTAATGTATTTAATGTATCATACCCACGAAATACATGTAAGTTAATTAAAAATATTTTAATGTTAAAGATAAAAACATTTCTTAAAATAATTGAAATATGGTTTACGTATATAACGTTTATTTAAATATGAATGGTACATAAACATTCAAACACAAATAATACAAATATAAAGATACGTTAAACATACTGCTACAAATTATGTACATATTATAGGATTACATTGTATGATTAGGTAAGTAAAATAAAAAAAGTAACTTCATATCTAAACAGAAAAGTGAAAATGAATGCATTGATTACATTGTCACGGTCATCCGTCAGCGGTCATCTAAACAAAACATGGTCAATTGGTCGCCCTATTTCCCTGACTTAGAACTAGAAGAAGCTGCTGCAGGTCCTCCACCAATACTAATGCTCTTTGAAGAACTGATAGCGATGCCTCCAGTTGGATTTCGTCCTTGAATCAAACCTGGTCGCTGATTACCAAAACCTCGATTGCCGAAACCCTGGTTGCCGAAACCTTGGTTGCCCAAACCTGGACGGGCAAGTTGGACGGGTGCACGTGGGGGTACACCCCGGTAAGAACCAGATTGTGCACTGGCTTGGCTAAAGCTTCCACTGCCAAATGGAGGTCCTAAAAGAAGACAAAATAACAATAATAATAATAAACCACACACTCATAGCCTCGCACTAGGGAAACCCTGTGGCGTGAGTGCCATGGACACAGACATAGAGAGACAACCACAAATTACACTCAAACTCACGGGAAATAAATGTAGGCCATTTATATATTTCTCCATCCTGGAAATTAAACCCGGGAGGTCTGTGTGGCAGTCCAGTATAGTAATCACTCGGCCAAAGAGGCAGTTAAAAAATATACGTATACAACATTGTATATAACAGTTTACAGTTTTTTTTCATAATACCAAGAGACACGACGAACAAGTCGTGCGTCAAGTGGTAAGCGACACGCCTGTTCGTAGAAATTGCAGTGCCACTCAGAGCTCCCAATGATATCCCATAAATCCCATACACCTGTAATTTCACCAGCACCCTTACCCCAGTTATGGATACATTACTGCTTTACGGCAGAAATAGGTAAAGTGGTCGTAATACATATGTATTATATATGATATATATATATCGCACTGCTATTACAATATTGTAGTAACTCAAAATATGTGAAATTCACGATTATACTATTTCTGAACGTAAAATTTGATTCTCTGTTGTTGTTGTACGTCACTAAAACCATCGTTAAAATATTGTAAGAAACAACTAAAATAAATCTATTTAACTCAAAATGAGACAAAGTTTTAGCGAGCTAGTTCTGGATAAAACACTCTTAATAAATAAGTTTCTAAAAGATATTAAGTTGTTTTTTCCTTTTATTTGTGAAGTAGGAAATTGTTTAGATGTCTGTAATAAATAAACTTTAACTTATATATAAATTTCAATAATATTTCGGAAGTGAGTAATTAGTTTTTTATCAATTCTGAAAAAATACACTTTTTGAGTTGATACACTATTGTATTAACAGTGCGATATATAAAGTATGTTTACGTTAAATACAAATTTTAAGTGTGGCACCAACCTATAAATTCACCATTTGTACTCTTTTGCATTTTGCAAAAAAGTTCATAAATTATATTTAAATATTTATGCATTAATCCCATTACCTACATTAAACAATTTCATATGATAAAAATAAAAGCAAGTTAATAATAAATAAATTTACAATATAATTAAAATTAAAATTTGAGACACTTAAAAGATTTGGAGTACTGAGAAAACAGTTCGCACGAGTTCATTTTTGGGCTTATTTAGTTTTTTAGTAAAAAGACATTGATGCTTTCTTAACAGGGTGCAAAAATCGTCCATTCTGTGATGGGTCATTAGGCCAGACGCGCTGCAGCGCCATGACAGACGTAACATGGCGCGTAATGCGCCACAATAATAATATTGTACTCGTAATGTGTTGAACGACAACTTACTGTAACTATACGACAACAGACTCGCATAAGATGCCATTATTAATTTAAATATTGTATCAATACAAACGTCAAAGGAAGTACTGCCACGTTACCTATTTCTGCCCCCAAGCAGTAATGTGAGCATTATTGGGTTCCAATTTTGAGGGGTAAGGTGCTGGTTAAATTACATGCACATGGAAAGTGTTATTCAAAGTCAAAGATTATTTATTCCACAGGTAAAATAAATTTACACTTGAAAACGTCACACTTAAGCTACTGCTCGTTCACTACGCTAACCTCCCTGAGAAGGACGAGCAAGAAACTCTAGGGATTGCTCTTTTCAAATAAACTTAAATGCTATGGAATACACTTTGAATCAAATTTGTGTGGATTCTGGAGCCATGTCGTCTTTCCATACATCTTTATCTAACACGTAGTCTTCAATTTTGTAATATGATTTTTCGATCAAAATATTTTTAATGTAGTTTTTAAACTTAGGTAATGATAAACTTAATATATGCTCCAGAATCTTATTGTAAAAAACGTATACAGTTCCCCATAAAAGAGTTGTTTACCTTGGTTAAACGAAATCATGGTACCATGAGTTTGGACTTAGCTCTAAGGTTAATATTATGGATATCTTCTTTCTTATTGAAATTATGTATATTTTTACGGGCATATAAAATATTTGAGTAAATGTACTGTGATGCCACAGTCATGATACCAGTCTCCTTAAACTTTTCTCTGAGAGATACCCGAGAGCCTAGACGGTACACAGAACGAATCGCTCGTTTTTGCAATACAAATATGGTTTGAATATCTGCCGCTTTACCCCACATGAGAATCCCGTAGGACATTATACTATGGAAGTAACTAAAGTAAACTAGTCTAGCAGTACTAACATCGGTAAGCTCACGTATTCTGCGGACTGCGTATGCAGCGGAGCTTAATTTGCTGGCCAGGGACGATATATGTGGAAACCACTGAAGTTTACTATCTAAGGTCACTCCCACGAAGACTGCTTTATTAACAAGGTCTAACTTTTCTCCGTTTATTTCTATGCTTGGACTAGTCGATTTTACGTTAGGTAATTCAAATTTAACACATTTTGTCTTTTTGGCATTAAGCAATAAATTGTTAGCATTAAACCAATAAACTACCTTAGAGAGGGTATCATTAATACGGTCATAGTTAATGTCATGTCTGTCTGTTTTAAATTTATTGTGATTTAAACCTCTGTGTGGCACTGCAAATGCTATGGTTAGGCGTGCGCTTACCACCAGACGCACGACTTGTGCGTCCCGTCACTTGGTGTCATAAATAGTATCAGTACAGAGTACTAAAAAACCTAAAGTTTGCGGAATTACATCTATTTGCCAAGTTTTATTAACATCGGTTACAGGAAAGTGCGCGAAACCGGATTCATCCCCTAGGGAGGCAACCCTTAGAGGTGGTATATTTTCTTCAAATTTAAGAAATAATACGGAGGAATCCTCGTTCCAACAAAAAAAGAATCATCAAAATCGGTTCACAAATGCCAGCCGGAGTTATTACGTAACATACATACAAAACGAAAAAAAAAAATTAGGAATAGACAAGTAAATAAATGAATCATACCTGCACTGACAGAGTCTGCTAAAACAACAAGGGCCACCACCCCGAGGCAAAGCGCAACACGTGCCATCGTCACTATGTCTTTAGTCCTAATGCGATTACGAAAAATGAAAACCACACATTTATAACATTCGCATTCCGAAAATGTTTGATCCTTTTCGCAGCTTGGTGAGAATATATTCATGTTTACACTCCGGTTATATCTGTTGATGAGCGATACTTTGCAAAACACGAAGAATACCTAAATCAATAATGTTATACTGATAACTACCTATCACAATGTAACACTTCTTTTTTAAAGTGTTATAGCTCCATGCTCCGTCGATACAAACGATGATTCCGTCTAAGTCAAGGAAGATACACGTTTGATTGTATTTCTGTATGGGATGGAGCTGCTAAAACTCGTTTTCTCGAGTTGGAACGTGCGCAACGCAATTTGCTTAAAATAATGTATATTTAAAAAAGACGATTTGCCACTACCAGTTTGTATCAAGTATCAAATGTAGCCACACTGTAAGGAAACTCTACATCACTCAAACTGTACTCAGACAACATAGATCTCTAAAATATTATCTAAATATTTCGAAAAGGAGAAAGAAAGACATTGTGGTACAAGTACCTAAAGTAAATACAACATTTGCAAACAGACAATTCAGCAAACGATCGGGCCACTTGTACAATTTAATTAATAAGGCATTGAAATATACGCCAAAAGTTATACAGACTGCAAAAAAGTTATATCAAAATGGCTACAGTCAAAATCGTATGAGGGAACCGAAGATCTATTAGAACACTTGCTTTAAAAACACTACCTTCCTAATCTATGGCAACAGATTAACACACACACACACACACACACACACACACACACACACACACACACA